GAAATTTTGATAAATTTTAGTTGCTTTTGTATTGTGCTACCTTTAAGGGGTATTAACTACGAGATATAATATAAAAATTAAATATGATTTTATTTTTTTGTTCAATCATTAATGAAAGTGAAAAAGTGAAATAACAATTCGTTTCTTGAAGTCAGTTTGGTTTAGTTTTGTCAAAAAAAAGCTAAGAAACATTGCTGATGAGATATTCACTTGCAAGTGAATAATTCAACCTCATTGAATCCGTATTCATGTGACCTTCAATTTAACCTTTTCGCTGGAGATGGGTTACGCGTGTATTCAGCTATTAAAAGGAAAAGAATGTAAAGATTGAAAGTGAAACAAGTATGAAACATTTAGTTGACTGAACCGATTAACAAAAAAATCATTCTTATACAGCTAAAAATGATGATAAACACACTTTTTAACATACAATATGAAATCAAAGACCTAGAAAAATCCAATTGCACGTGGTCGCTATCTATTTTATATTTATATTTATGATTATACTGCGTTAAATGACCATAGGCAGTCTTCGGAGGTCATCTCGATGGTTAATTAGATGACGTCTAGACAAAAATACACTCGAAATATTATCGAGTTCATGCATTGTTAATTGTTTATTTTAGACTTTTATGTAATCTGGATATACGTTTTAGTATGTTATTAATCAACTATTAGAATTTGAGTCAAATCGGTGAACATGAATTTGACAGCTAGTGCCCCTTTAAGAGATACCATAAGATAAATTATGAATGTGGTTCAAAATTTGTGAAATAATACAATTATTGGAAATAAAATTATTGGACACCTATATACCAATAGAAATATATTACAAAAAATGTACTGTTGATTTTTCCTTCTAATTTCGACATAACATTCCCGTAGTAGTACATAGTCGATTGCGAAAGACAAAAATGGACGTCCTTGTACTCATTTTTTAGCTAGAGATTGAAACCCTATTATTTTAAAGCTGGATATCCCATTTCCCTTATTTGTGGTAAATTACGTCGCAGTGTATTCTTAGTGCAACATCGTTGTGTAGCAATTCACGCCATACACAAAACTGCTATGCGAAAAACTGTCATATACAAATTTATTGATGACAGAAAAGTAAACCGTCTACATTTGCCTCGAATTTAATGCCCCGTAGTAGATTGATTTTGCGTGCTTAAATATACAACATGTGCGGTTTCCTTTGCAAATAATTTCAAATTCACGTATCCGATTTGATGACGTAAGTAAATTTTTTGCGAATTTTTGATGATTATCATTAGTAACAACGTTGCTAAAACAACACGTTAAATTTGAAAGTTTTATTATCTGCCATTGCTACTATGCTGTATTGTTAATCACGAAAACACTGAAGGGGCAAACCTACAAAAGTAGACGGAACTCTTTACCTGACTAGACGGACATCAAATGTTGTTGTCATTTAAACGAAACTTTCCACAAGTGACTTGAAATGAAAAAGAGACAAATTGGCACCTTCGATATGCAAGAACACAAAAAGGACAAATGTACTTTTAATTGCGTATTGTGTTAAAGGAAACAGTAGTTTACAGGTGTTCAATCTAATTCATTACGAACATACAAATCAAGGTAAATACAAAACGACTGGATTCTTGTCTTACATTTTTGCTCATGTACTTTGTCTATAGAGTGTCATTATGCCATTTGTGTTTTCTTTGTTGAAATAGTTATTCTTTTTATTGTGTTAAGATCATAACACAATGTTGACTGCTGTACATCAATTTTTGTCATTTTTATCTACTATGTCTGTTTGTTTTGCTCACACGTTGTCAAGATATATAATGGAATTCTATGCGACTGTCATACAAGTGAGAGGTTTAGCTAGCTAATAAACCAGGTTTAATCCACCATTTTCTACATAAGGTAATGCACCTAGTCAGGAATATGACAGTTGTTTTCAATGCGTTTGGTGTGTTTGAGCTTTTGATTTTGTCATTTGATAAAGGACTTTCCGTTTTGAATTTTCCTTGGAGTTTGGTATATTTGTTATTTTACTTTTCACACGAACTCTTAAGGGAGCGAGACTTGGTGTGTTAACAGAGAAAGCTTCTCATGCTATGCATGCAAAACCCGTCTTGCAAATCCACAATCAGTTAAAATGTCACAATGGGAATTAGGACATGGAAAGTTACTGATCAGACGACTTTTCATGTATGTAAAGAAGAATGACCGCGAATTGATACATCATTTCTTTTCTTTTCAAAAAGACGACTACATGGATTCATATCCCTGGGAAGATAGACCTTAAAATCTTGCAGATTGTACGACCAAACAAATAAGGACACATACTTTCATTACACATACACAGATGGCTCAAGAGGACAACAAAATCAACAACTTTCTGTGACGGGGCCTTCCACAGTTTTTCCACAGTTGTGGTTTTGAATGCACAGATGTAGCTGATCAACATATAAAAAAGGCTTTATATATGGCTGAAAGGCCCTGATCCATTTTAGTTGACCAATGCATGCTTTTAGATAGACAAACAGAATCTGAAATAGAATGGGAGACGAACATGTAATTTACTTGTGAACACAAGAAGGGATAAACATATTCAAAATGCTGAAGAAAATTGTAAATGTCGTAAATATGGCCCCAGAGACTTTAGAACGTAACGTTATATAATTCTTTCCCGGACTTTCGCGCACACAATTGTAATGTAACATTGCACAATTGTTACGTATCTATGAATCTTTAGAATCATAAAGAATCTCAACTGACAAGACATTATTTTCTTTACACAAGCATAACATGTCAATAACCCTCAAGCAGTGGGAAATCTAGTGAACGAAGACAATAGAATATTCACTCTTCTTATGAAAAAGTCGAGAAAATCAATAATAAAACAATGTCGATGACGATACTGATCCAAAATTATTCCAAACAACAAGTGTACATTTGAAAGAAATCATTTGTTAACTGTGTTATTAAAAATATACATGCAAATACACGATGTTTTATGTTCAGTGTTTATCGAGATAATCGCATTAGAAGCTTCTGAAACTGAAATCTAAAAATGTTAATCTTTGCTGCATATTAATAAAAAAAAATGGAAAAATGCATATACACAAAAATCTAAAGATCTTTCGGGTCATCAATGTTCAGGGTGTTCCACAAAGTCCTTTGCATGTTACAATTTCCAAAAATATACATCTAATTTTTCGAGTACACCGGTCTGCTCTTTTCACGTGACCATTCAATATAGAAATATTGACTTTTTGTGAATGTAAAGTCTGTCTGTGCAGGTTAAAAATTAAAGATAAAATATTTTTTATAAAGTATGTATTTTTTTATTATACAATTTTAAGAAAAGGTCGTCTCTATTTTTGTACATGTATTTGCGGTCTTCTCGACTTCTCGATCTATTCACATTCAATGTTAAAATCAGGATGAGATCTGTTTGAATTTGTTGAGTACCTCAATTTCAAGGGTGTTTATCTTTGCTGCATATCAATTGAGTCCTTTGGAATTTGTTCCCTGAACTTCTCTGATCTAGCTGCATATATATATATATACGGATAATCAGTATGTTTCAGAGAGGTATACAGCCGGTAGAAAAATAAATTGAATTTGGTACTCCAAGATTTTATACACATCGCAACATTTTAAGCCAATTTTACATCAAGCTCCTATAGCCATCTGTACTTGTCGTTTGCTATTCAAGGAGGGAAATAATAACATTAAATAGAAGTTTTGTTTTTATTTTAACTCATTTCTATTTTTACTTTTACCAGAGAGTTTTCCCTTGAATTCATAGTTGATAGCGTCCTTGCTAAAACGGGACAAACATTGAAAAGATCTAGTTTTCAGTGTTTACAGGAGAGGTTATATATTGTCACTAGATTTCCCACTGCAAGATAGTAAGTGATATTAAGAGGTGTAATTTATATTCTGACATGGTTTTCACCGATTGCGACATTACTGGGTGATAATTAGCATGGCGGTTGGTGCATGCATAGTAGGAGACGTTTACCCTGTCGATGCAGCCGGTCTCGCTCCTTTCGGAGTTCATGCGATTTCCTCGGTTTTTGTTTGTAACCTTGATTTATTTTTTCCTAATCGATTAACGAAATTTGAAAGTCGGGTACTATTATCGCCATAATTTGCAATGTTATGTGTTTTAAATTTTATATCGCTAAAAATATTGTGTATTCTATAACTTTCACATACTTAAGTGTTTGCAAAGGAAAATAAAATTGAGTTTACTTCTTTGTTAGTAGGATTGATTGTTGGTTGCCTAACGTTCTTTGGCAAATATTTCATGCGTGTTCAGGACGCGTGTTTTGTTTGAATTTGTCAGGCAGACCATAAAATGTAACTACAAAATAAAAATCGTTACTAGCGAATCAAATCAGAAGCGAAAAAAAAGAATGAATAAAACTGTTTGATTGTGTCTAGCTGTTAAAGAATTAATAGTTCACCTAATACACTTGCAAGGCCAATGTTCGAAGTATACACTCAAAAAGTGCAGCTTTATTTCATGCGCGTCTGGCGTACAAAATTATCTAAGTTTCTATACTACTGGGTCGATGTCACTGCTGATGGACGTTTCAGCCCAGCAGTCATCACTTTTGTGTTGACATGAAGTATCAATAACTGTTTTGATTCGAGAGTCAATGTTAAGTACAGGAAACGGGCGTCTGGCGTACAAAATTATAATCCTGGAAAATAATTTAAATGAGTTTTTTTAATGACACTTGTGATTTGTAAACTTTCAAGTTATTTTCATCTTCAATTCGGTATTGAAACAAGACCTTTATGAATTTAAAACATTAAAGAAATGCCCTTCATAAGATAAATAAATATATAGTTTTTAGTGTAAGTAATTACGGAAAATATTCATTATGATGATCTGTATATCGGTCTCTATTTATATGCACAATAAACTCTCCTGTATCCATAATATTGTTGATGTTATGAAGACCGTATCAATTACATGTATATGACCTTCAACTCTCAGGTATTTTAAAATTATAATGCGTCCTTAATGAAGAATTGTGTCAACAAGTTTTATATCACATTCTTATTGAGATGACCATTGTGAATTATTCATGCAAATATATACACACTAACATGTACACAACATTTAAACATTCACTGCAATAGGCATTTAGTTGTATAAGGAAAAACGCGGCAATGTTTCAGGAAAACAAAAACCTGATATTATGCTATATTTGTGTTGAAGAGATTGCCACAGAGTTTTGTAAAGAATGTAACCAGTATTTCTGTGATAAATGTAAACATCATCATTTGAAAATATCAAGTTTACGTGATCACCAGTTCACATCTTATGATCAGAGGGAGGGACAAACACGTTGGCATGTAGAACGCGGGAGAGGAGTTGTGAGGAAACGGTTTGATAATCAAGATTTATCACAGGAGTGTAGATACCTTTGCATACACTGTGGACCACCGATAGTTAAGAAGAAACAGTGTCCATCACATTCAAATCATCTAGTGTTTGATATTATTGGTGAAGAGTAAGTATTGATATTGTTTTCGGTACATGAACCTTTTTTAGAATACGGTACTAGTTTTTCGTCTCTGCAATCCCATACAACATATGCAATATATTCTACATGATACAAAACAAGTTGCAGAAAATGTGCTTTTCAAACTAAGTTAAAAAGCTGCCACTTTCTTTAATTATACGACCCATGTGAATAATAGACTTAATTTGGGTTAAATACGATGATGTGGATAACTTTCATTGCCTCTTATTTATTCAAATCCTTGCAGTAGCTCCTTTATCACAGCTAATGCCTATTGTATGTGGGTGGGCTTACAATACGCTTTATAAATCATCTGTAATAACAGGGGTTATCTGTATTTGATTGCCTTTAGGGATCTTTCGACTGAATCGTTGGTTTTTAACAATGCCTGTTATCATAAACTGTAACCCTTTGCGATGTGCTTTCACCAAAACTGACAAATGTGTAGCGGATTTGGCTCTGTATTAAAAGTAAACGGGTGCGGTTGAACATCTGCTTCTTTTTGTGTTGACCCAAACGTTTGTATATAAATAATTATTTTCATATTTTGTCATTACTTTCAGAAGTCAGCGTGACTTACCAAAGATTATCCAAATGTTACAAAACTGTTCTACGGATACCAAAGAGAATATCCTGTTTGCACTGAAAACTATTTTAGAAGGCAGCTTAAGATCTATGCAGGTATGATTTCAGATAGTAATTACTGCATGTATATGTTTTCGTTTTTTTTCTGGTAATTTTCTTTAGTAGTCTCATACACACTGTTGTTATTGAATATTCGTTTATTTCTACTCAAATTCTCTAATTCAAAGCTGAATCTTTAATTTTCAAAAACATGTTTTTTCTGTCTTATTTGGACTTTTGAGATAACAAATGAGCTCCATATACTTTCCTAAACTAATTACCCAGATAAGACAAGGCTAGTTTCATAAACATTGGATGTATTTCGAAATTGATCTCGTGCTCATTATATTAGCAATGAAGTAATATTTTCTTCAACTACATGTAATTTCAAACATGATCTATTTTGTTTTAAGTGAAAGATATGTGGTTAATGTACATGAGAACTACAAATAATATAAACAATTTACAAACAATTACAATACAACACACATTTAACCTATGAATGACTTTGTAGGATGTCTTTTATGAGACAGACAGTGTGAAGGTTATACTTGAAATGTTTTTCGAAACACGTGACACTGCTGTGTTAGACAATATAACATCAGTGATGCTAGTTATTCCACCCGGAGTAAGTATATCGTTCAATCTTGAGTAAGTGTTCTTGTTCTTACGACGTAATATTAACGGTGAAAAATATAGTGCTGCTGTTTGAAGATCGACTTTCAGACAGATGTACCTATTACAACAGGAACTATTGACCTTTCCGGAGCATCTTAATTTGTTGCTTAATTTTTCGTTTTCTGTGAACTTTTTTTTTTTGGGGGGGGGGGGGGGGGGGGGGGCTAATGTTAGATATCTTTTTTTTTGTTTTTATCCATGACGCTTTTTTTTTTTTTTATCCATTACGCTTTTTTTTCTTTGACTATTTAGTATTAGTGATTAATAATCTTTATTTACCAAAGTCATAACAACTATAGACATACAACATATAAACTACACACAGTATACATAGATAGCAGAAGGTAGTGTGAAACATATTACAACATGTTAGATCTTAATTTCAGTGCACGAAATATAAATTTACCCAATAACATAGTTCTCTAAGATTATTTGAACTCATTAATTGTATATATTTATACATAGAAGGTTTTCTCCAATAATAAGGTTTAATAAAATAAGATCTAAGACCTTGATAAGTGGGACATTTTAAAATGAAATGTATCTCATCCTCAATGTCATTTTTACGAAACCTTCAGAGTCTATTACTTCTTGGAATTGCAGAATAATGTCCACATTCTTTAGCTAAATCATGACTACTAAGTCTTATTTCGGTAATACATGTCTTATAAATAGCTGGTATTGGTTTACATAAGTTATATTGTAAACAAAAATTTTGAACCATATATCTATAACTTGAACATTTAACTTAATTACTCAATTGGCTGTCAAAATCTTTAGCTTGCTTCAGACAATCAAACAGACGCTGTTTAATTATTAAGTACAAAGTGCTGGAGAGCTTATTATCTAAAAAAAAAACCTTGATTATACCAAATATCACCTAAACCTATACTAAGCAGCTCATTTTTAATAAAATACAACCAATTTGTCTTATTATTTGAACATTTTTGTAAATCATCATATCAAAACAGTAACTGTTTTTCAAAATACAGTTTGTGGTACATAGCAGGTTAAACCAGTATTTAAAAATTCTACATTTTCGTGTGTGCCATAATGGCAATCTACCTAGCTCATAGTACACCATGACATTACTAGTAGAGCTTTTTACGTTCATAATATTTTTACAATAGCCAAAATGTATCCTCTCTATAGCTGGTGCCTTATGGGCACCCCATTTTCACACCAATAGCAAAGTACACTGTTAATATAAGTATCAAAAAGTGAAAGTAAATTTTCAAAATTCAAAATTCAAATAAATATCTTTTATATTTCTCCTTAAGGCAAAAACAGCTTTTCTACCCTGTTCTGAGAGTTTCTGCTGTAACAGATTATATTTGCCATTACAATTTAACAATATACCAAGATAACTAAACTTATCTACAACTTCTATTTCCTGGTTATTATAATACCATTTTTCATTGTCATGTATTTTTCCACCCTTTCTAAAATCAATAATTTTCGTTTTTACTATATTAACACTAAGTGATCATTTGGAGGTATAATCATACAAGGTATCAAGTAACGTTTGTAAACCACTGTCACATTGTATCTGCACAAAATTTAAGAAATATTTTTTCAAACATATTTCAATTTATGAGGTTTGCCATTGCTCGCTGTGATTGCTATAAAACACTTCTCACAATATGATCTGAAGAGCAACATATATGCCTTGTTAGATAAACCCCATTTCCGAATTACTAATGAAGTAATGTTTACAATACATTAACATCATGATTGTATTTGGATTGGGGTTTTTTTTTCAGAAACTAGATGAGCAAACCGATGTGACAGGCCTGTTGATTAGGACTGTTATAAACTTTGGCATAAGAAATCCAGAGGATGCTCGATTACCACATTTCCTTAATGGTATTGGTATTATAAGGTACTACTTATTATTAGAGAAAGACAGATTGTTTTACGGTGGATTATTTACATGTATTGACACTATGTTCAAAGATCAGATATCTTTTATCTAAGGATTTTAACAAGAATAGAACGACGGGTGTCACTATTGGAGCAGGAATTGCTGACATTTTTTTAGATCACCCGAGTTCACCCCAAGGTTTTGGTAGGGTTCGTGTATCTCAGTTCTCAGTTTTTTTTTTGTGTGCTGTTTTATGGACTGTCTTTTTGTTTGTTTTCTCTTGGTCAAGGTTTTAACTGTTTTTCTTCGACTTATGATACTTGCAATTGATTAACCGTCTTGGTAACTTCTTTCCTTATTTTTGTTAGAGACCGGGAAGGGTAACTGTGAGTGTGTCTTGCTTGTTTTATATTTTTACATGACACACTTTTATAAAGTTTCTTATAAAAACATTATGAATTTAAATTATATTTGGAAAACATTAATAAAAGTCAAATGGATTAAGTACAATAAAATATTTTTTACATGAAGTATGTACGTCTCTGTTTTTACAATGATAACAGTGTTGTTAACTGGCAGGTACGGTGTAATATGTTAATTTCCGTCCTCATTTTTGACCATTCACGGGTATAAAATTCTTCTGTTTCATTTTGAGCCTTTCGGCTTGCAATGATTTGTTATTGCGAATTGAACAATAGAATTTAGCAAAAAATGGTAATATATCTACAAAATACACTAATTCCATCCCAATTTCCAAGTTTCGAAATTTGTTTAACTTTTCAAGTATTTGTCAGTAATTAAAAAACCTTTAACAAGAATCCTTCATGGCAATCTATGAGTGCATATAAACAATTCCTTTATAAACTACATTAAAATATCAATAAAAGAGAGGCAGAAGATACCAAAGAAATATTTAAACTCATATTCAAAGTCGAAGACAAACTGACAACGCCATTGCAAAAACAAAACAAAAACACAACACCACGAGCAGACAAACAAAAAAACACAACATAGAAAACTGAAGATTGAGCATTACGAACCCAAACAAAAACCGGCAGTTATCTCAGGTGCTCTTGAGGGTTAAAGAGATCCGTCGCGTTGCTGATGTAAGTACACATTCGTAAACAATATTTGAATTTGGTCTCGCATAGCTTTACTTAGGCTCCTTAACTTCTTGATCTGAAGGAATAATCGCCTTAGCTCTCTCAATATGTGATAATCTTCTATATATATATATATAGGAGCAACAATATTATCAAAAAGATATCCTTAAGAATACCTTATACAAAGATGTTAATGTTTACCTTTACGAAAATGTATTGTTAAATAGGCTGTTGTGGTTATAAATAACAATTGTGACATGATTATGATATTACAGTGATATGGTAACATTTCTACATAAGGAAATACCTGTGCCAAGTCAGGAATATGACAGTTGTTTTCCATTCTTCGTTTGATGTGTTTGAGCTTTTGATTTTGCCATTTGATAACGGACTTTCCGTTTTGAATTTGCCTTGGAGTTCGGTATTTTTGTTTTTTTTTTTACTTTTTTCCGTCCTAAGGTCAAATGATAATATCATCCGATTCATTTGTCAAATTAATTAATATAATTTTGAACAATTTCTTATCTATTAATTGTAAGTGTCAACTAGTTCATACTCTTCACTGGTAGTTGTACCTAGGAAGTTGGTGGGCAATTTCAACTTCAATAGGTAGAATCTGCCATTAGAACATAAGGGTATGTTAGCTAGATGAAGAAAGTTTGCCTACCAACCAGCCACCTACGGACCACTAAAAGAGCTGTTGCAATGGTGCTTTAATGTGCAAAATCGTGGCACTCTATCTACACGAGACATCGGATTTAACGTCCCCCGTCCGGCATCGTATTTATACATCCCACACTGTCAAACGAACGCCCTTCTGAAACTTTATGTAAAAATAGTTATAACTAAAGTTGAATTTCTGATCTGCCTGTTCGAATGCTAAATATCTTATTCATTTTGTAATTTACCATCTCAGGCGTGAAACATCAGATTAATTCTTTACGCAGTTCGGGAAAATTATATTAACCTTTCTACTAAGACAATTACTTGGGATAATCTCAACTAATCTAAACTTTCATCATCAACTAATCTTATTCACGTTAGGTTGATGAAATCATTTTGTTGTATAGAAAAGGTATTTCAAATTATGTCACGTTTTTCAACACTTTGAAAGATAGTTAAGGTATTTGACCTATATGTTAAATGACATGATTCCAACTGTAAAAATAGTTCATATGGGTTGATGTTTAGCCCGATATCGGTATAATTTCGGTGTTTAAATTGTAAAATATAATTGTTATTGTAAAAAGATTTTACATTCAATTATTGTTATTTTAGAAATTTCAGCGATTTGGCATTCAGAGATTTCCAAGATGGAATTGAGAAAACGATTATACAACTCAGAGAACATAAACATTTAGTCTATTGTTTAATTGAAACAGTCAGATTGTACGTTACAAAGTTTGACGAAGTAGAGAGCCAATGTGTAGAAAACTGCATGTGTACCTTAGAAAATTTATCCCAAGATGTCATCGATAAAAGACATGAAGCAGAACATAGTCATAAAATTTCAGGTATCACAAGATGTAACTCCTATACTCGCATCTTATTACCGGTCATCGGTACGTCAGATGCAATAGGCACCACAGCTATACTCGCATCTTATTACCGGTCATCGGTACGTCAGATGCAATAGGCACCACAGCTATACTCGCATCTTATTACCGGTCATCGTTAAGTCAGATGCAATAGGCACCACAGCTATACTCGCATCTTATTACCGGTCATCGGTACGTCAGATGCAATAGGCACCACAGCTATACTCGCATCTTATTACCGGTCATCGGTACGTCATATGCAATAGGCACCACAGCTATACTCGCATCTTATTACCGGTCATCGGTACGTCAGATGCAATAGGCACCACAGCTATACTCGCATCTTATTACCGGTCATCGTTACGTCAGATGCAATAGGCACCACAGCTATACTCGCATCTTATTACCGGTTATCGGTACATCAGATGCAATAGGCACCACAGCTATACTCGCATTTTATTACCGGTCATCGGTACGTCAGATGCAATAGGCACCACAGATGAACATCTGCAGTACACAATTTTAAAATCCATTGTATATCAATGGCAATAAAAAACACAGACAAATAGTTTGTAGTTCACGATAGTCAAAATAATTGTTTTTATTAGAAATAGGAACAGAGATCATATTGTATATACCGTACTGAAAGCCGGTAATAAGATTGACTTTAGTTGTTTACATTTTCAATTGAATTGTGATTTGTATTTTCTTTGGACTGTTGTTTGTATGTTTGTATTTTTTTCTCTTTACCATATACGTATTGTTTTGTATTGTCCAATTTGCGGCTTCTCTACCTTTTTATAGCTTATATGGGTATTAATATCTCCCAATACATCAACTATTTTATTGTTGTAATATTACTGCTTCAATGTACATAAAATAGATTTTTGAACACGCTTCAATAGTTAAACTCTACTTACGTTAAGTATCGGACCTTAACTTTATTTATAATTGGCGATGAAACATGTTTCGCTTTTATGTATTCCTTTGTTGGACAATGGGAAATAATCTTATTTGAACCATGTAAACGACAATTCTCTTATGATTGTAGCCTGTTATATATTTCTCGCATGAAAAAATATTTCTCATTTTATACTGCGCGTAGTATGATACGAAAAATCTGTTAATTTGAATGGCTTATCAAGCTTCATGAAATGATATTGCCACATTTCCATTGCTTATTCCTCAGGTTATTGATGAGTTTTAAATGTCAGAACGATGTACCTGTCATCCATGGCCACGGCGGTATGAAATTTCCTCAATAATATGCTCACAGTTTTCATATGAAAATCTTAATTTTGTCAAATTCTAATATATTCGGAAGCATACAAAAAGTTTTAAAATATCTGATGTTAAAGTTTGGCGCCGTAAGAGTACACATTACGTCAATCTGGTATATGCAAAAGACTAGATCAACGAGTCGCTGACTTTTTTTTTAACACTGATATTATAATTATCATAAGATAGATAGGTTTAACAACTCGTGAGATTTGGGTATCGCTTGATATCAACTCTTGTTATTTAATTTGAATAGTAATGATAAACTCGCCAGAGGCTCGTTTCTTATTAAATTGAAATTAAATACTCGAATTGATATCAAGCGATATTCAATTCTCACTCGTTATGAAACCTATAATTACAAATGTAAGTCCTTACATAAGGTATAAATTGGGTATAAGTACGGTCGTTTCACTGGACGTCTATGTGGTTGCTATGAATCACATTTTGTACAGATCTTTTAAATTTGGAGACAAGTTATGAAATCATAGGACAATTAGTCAGAGGTGAACAAAAGAGATATTTCAGTATATCAACACTGACGACAGTGCCTTGTTAAAAGTTGGAAAGAAACGTTCTCGATAAATTTTGATTCCTAAACTATTGATCAGCATCGATCCTGAAATAATTGTAAAGAAACGTGCATAGTTTTTATTGAAATTGATAATTTGCATATACATCTGCTTGTTAATGGTTAGTCGCTGATGATTTTATCCACACAGTTGAAACATCTATTTGTAAGTTTTCAAATAATAAAGTGGTTATAATCAGAACTGGGGTTTTGAATCATTTGGGAAACTTTACCTTAGAAGATTTTGCCTATTTTTTTCAGCTCCCTTTTGGTTTGATGGTCTTTAATAATTGAATTAGCTTCCATTGGCAGAGCGAGGGTGAAAGAAATGTAAAAAAGCCTTGGTTCGAATATAAAAAAAACTGTATTTCACGGGTCATTAACTTGCATTTTCTCCTTTATAACTCCACTCAAAATGTTCATACTGAAACGAATCCTAGGGCCAAAAAAATAAATAGAAATACAACCAACTTCGTCAGGTGACTGCGCATTTGATTTGCATTAAACGTTTATTTATCTACCATTGAATCTGTGCAATCACAGCTAGTGTGTCAGTCCCAGGGTGTACCTAGTGACCACAGCTTTGGTATTGACACCAGCTTTCTTGATGAATGTTATTACAGAAGAAACTGTGGTCAACTAAAATTATGGCATATTGTTTTACCTTTTAATGCAATATTTTAATCTACAACTATAATGTTATCTCTGAAATTCAATATTTAAACAAATTAGATAGTTTAATGTGTAAAGGGGAAAATTCAACAAGCACTCGTAATATATAGTGTGTGCATCGATGAAGACCGTATGGTCACTTGTACATATTTACTGTGAACTTCTTGAATTGATGTTTATAGATGCTAAACCGACATATATATTACATGGTTATTCTATCCAACCTTACAACATATGAATAATTGTTAGTATGATTGAAAGGATGTTAAAGAGACGTTTGCCAAAAATAATCTTCTATATATCACAATAGTATTTCCTGAACGAGTTTACCATAATTGTTGCAATAATTTGCGCCATGTTTCATAATGTGGGTATATTTGATGTTTTAATATCTATTCAATGTATTCAATCGTGGGTATATTTGAGCATTCTGTATTATTCTCTTGTAGGATTGACTGCCATTTTCTCGAAGATACATAAAGGTAAAAAGAAAAAGACAAGGGAGGTGTAAGTGAATTTACCTCAATTTGAAAAATTTGAACCATATAAAAGTAATAATGCAAATACACTGACGAGTTTCTTTAATTTTAAATCAAAGAAAAGGTTGTTAAAAGCAACCTGTAATTATTGCGAGTCAATGTTTATTGAAACGTAACGTGCACTCTATTTGAAATATAACTTACCTCTCAACTTTGTAGAAATAGTGGCCTTGATTTACCATCAGGTAACTCAGAGTCTTCTGCAGTCCATGAATATGAATTACTATGGAAGGATAGCTCTATAGGACTGTTCTGTAAAATAATTACAAATGAGAATACACAACCAATAACGTTGAAAACAACAATGGGTTTACTGATTAATCTCCTACCGTTTAACTGGCATGTAAGTAATCTTGATATTATTGAAGTAAATATTCAATGTCTATATATTTTGTAGTATCACACATCAGCTGCATGTACGCCATCTAAAATAACTGGTAATAATAACAATTAATTCCTTTCATTTAATTAATTTTTAAATAACGCAGATTTTCACCAAATAATAGAACTGAAAGGATATTGGGTATCCATCCACGACACAAATCAGTACATGCACAGCAAAAAACACATAAAGCAAAGGAACAGTGCTTTTATTGCTTGTAATTTTCTTTTACCAAAAGATCCATTTATCATGTTTTCAAACTGTAAACATCTCTTTCGATGAGTAAGTCCAAAGTCCTCGAAAACTCATAGAATTATTTGATTGATTAAGGCGTAAGTAATTTACCGATGTTCAAATCTCGTCAATCGATTAGGAAGAGACAGATCAAGGTAACAAACAAAATAAGAGGAATCGCATGAATTACAAAAGGAGCGAACGTTTACTTTTACAAAAGAATTTAACCCTATAAATTTTTTTTCACAGAAGTTAAATGAGCCAATGTTGTTTTGTTTTTTTTTCGAAACAGTTGATTTTCCAATGGACATTAATTGTCGATGTTTATTTTTAGCAAAACTTCATTAAATCGCGTATACATTTTCCACATTAGATTGATTTTTATGACAGCCAAGGTTCCTCAAGATGATGTTCAACAACCATATAGGGAGGCCGAGCTAAGTTTGCTGTTAATATAAAACTCAAGTTGAGCAAAATGTCATTTATTCAAAATTTATCATTAGTTGAGAATGACATATTAACAATATCAATAGTAGCAAATAAATGACACTGACTTTAAAAAGCAAAGGTGGGGTTTAGAAAATGCCACAAATCCCCAAAGGGGATCCCCACCCGAGGACTCCCTGTCCAGAACTAGGGAAGACAAATATGACTTGTTCATAATTGTATAGTATATAAAGCTTAGCAAAATAAGCCATTTCTGACCACTAAAAGGCAGAGGAAGCCATGTTGAACTCTACCGTCCATATAGATGAAAATACATGTGAAAATAAAAACAAATAGTTAATAATAGTCATGTAAAAATGTTCTTTAAAAAATCTAAAATATTAAAAGAAAAAACAAACAAAATAATTTCACAAAACACCATGTATTGGACATGTTAAATGAAAAACAAATGTAGAGCAAGCCATGTTACCTAAATATACTTAAATGTACGATAGACTGTAGAGCAAACCATGTTGACCTCTACTAGTTAGTCCAAAATGTTCGACAAAATAAAAACAAATAATTACTACCAAGTTTACAGAGGGTTATTTACTTACATACAGAAACTATCAAGTCTTATATAATGCTGAAAGGCATTAGACTTCCATCTACCCATGATTTGAATCATAGATAAGGGAACTCGTCTGGCAGCTGCCGAAGTTGCAGCCCCAATTCTAAAACTGTGACCCTTATAAACATTTGCATCCAAACCAGCAAACAATAATAAATTTTTCAAAGAGGAATTAAAATAAAAAGATGAAACAGGCTTTCCACATTAAAATCTAAAAAGAGGACCTAGTTTATGATTTGACGACCGTAAATACTCCAATAGAGCAGTAACAGGACAATATATATTTCCTTCAACCATAGGAATTGATAAAGTCTTTTGTTGCATATTACTGTGTTTGTAATTTTTCAAAATAACTGTCATGACTCGTATTATTGTCCACTTGTTCAAAACTCACACCTGATCTCTGAATGACTTTAAATAATTCCTTATCACATTTATTGGCTATTTCTTTAATCCGTAAGAAGCAGAAATATGCCAAAGACATCATAGCTTTCAACAGAAATTGATTGTAATATCCTACTATCACTTTTGGAATAGATTGAATTAATTTCTTAAGAATATCGTAGGTTATAGGCAACCTTGTATCAACTGAACTACGTAACTGTTTGGAACCTTTTAGCATTTTTTTTTATAAAAAAGGCATCTGTCGGGTCTTGTAGAAATCTTATTTTGTGTACATAGCTTATTGCAGAAATGTATGAAGCTATCGTTGAGGGTTGATAATTTTTAATAAAAAGATCCGAAATAAAATGAGCGATCATGATATGAGTAGATGGAAGTAATTGCCTACCAGGAGAAAACTTTGTACAAAATTCTTGATACACATTTAACATTCTGTTATATGATGAAGCTGTATTTGAAGATAAGGATGCAGTATAGAGTTTGTCAGTTACAGATTCAAACATTGAGTTGGAATGTACACAGGAGAAGGATTTAGCCATGGAGCTATCCGATGAACTTTCTGAAAAGAAAAATGAAACAACAGGTCACAAACTACATTGGTCTTTCCAGGAATATGTTTAGCTCGAAAATGAATATTGTATTTTAAAGCAGCCAGTACAAATCTACGGACCAATTTCATAATATTCTTTTCTTTTGAAGATGTTTTATTTATAATTGCAGCAACTGCTGCAATATCGGTTAAAAACAAAATTTTATGGTTGGCTAAAAAAGCACCCAAAATATCAATTGCCAAAACAATCGGGAAAAGCTCTTTTATTGTAATGTGTAAGTTTCTTATTTCCTGTGGCCATTCACCTGCAAACCATTTACTGCCAAAAACAGCAGCAAACCCATCCCAAATTTAGAATTTTTCTAACCCTTCTAAATTTCTCATCATATGTTTTAGCTGCTTGAAACCTCAAAAATTTACATGAACCACGAATAGTATAACCATACTTTATCAAGGCCAAAACAGAATTCAAAGACTTTCCTAAATAAATGGACATAAATATGTCAAAAGCGTTCATCTACTGATGAATTGATTGGAGCCCCCTTTTGTTTTTTTTCCTATTTGAAATAGTGATATTAAAATTTTCAAACAAAGTTGAGGAATCTTCCTCAATATTAGATGGCAGCAAAAAGGCAAAGTTCACATAATTGTCTGCCCAAACATTATCCATTAGCTTACAACTAACATGAAAATCTAATGATATAGAATGTTTTAACATATTACATGCATAGGGAGTGTCTACATTAGCAGAGCTTGAGTGGAACTGCTCAACAGCCATTACATCCGGATCCGATGATAAGGGTGGCTGAAATATTACTAATGATGAGTCATGGTCATCACTGTTGTCATGTTGTACAGTTGCCAACGGTGGTATACTTGTAATAACCGGAATCTGCAAAGACTGTGCTGTGCTTGCATGACCAGTTTGTGAAGAAGGATTCAGTATGGCTGAAATCTTGCTGGTCGGCATCACGTTATTGTCCTTTACTAGTTGAATGCCGGAACTGTGCAACATTGCAGATAATGCTTCAGTAATGTCATTAGAGGATGGACTGGTTTGAAGATTATTGTTCGAAGAACTCATAGTAATATTGTCCGGCAAATCAGCTCGTTGCGGTTGTGTCCTCGTACCCCTTCGTTTCTTTGCCCTTGGTCTATTTAATGTCGGCAAATCAGTAGTCTCTATCTCAAAAACATCCCCAATTGTCGCCTCAGTCAAATTTCCGGGAGCAGCTTTCCTTTTGGTTCTTTGCTTTGGCATTCTGGCTGAAATAATTAAGAAAGAAATATATATATATATATATACTATTTTAATTGTTAGTACAATATATTCTTAATGTGGCCAATTAAGGAAAATAATGATCCAATAAATTTTAGGCATATTTGTAAGCCTATACATGTATAAATGAATACATAGATTCAACCAATATTGAATTAAACATGTTAAAACAAAATTTAAATATACTGATATAGTAACTCCAGAACTACAACCATTATATGTATAGAAAACATGTAAACATTATATTTTACAACCAACTTACCCTATTATGACACAACCATATAGGGTAATAAACCATTTAGTATGCTCCTCTGCTTGAACCAAAGTCAATACACATGTATGTACATGAAAAATGATTAAATAGTTAATCCAGATGTTAAACATAACATGTAAATGAACCATGTAATAATATAAGACATTAGTAATGTCAACCATTTTTGTGTCACAACCATAATAAACCAAAGCAAGACAGAGGAAACATGATATTAAATTAAGTAGTAATGGAGTACCGTATTTTCAGTATATAACCATAATATTTGTCAAGTTACCACATGACAAGAGCCTCCATATCAAATTTTTGTATAGAAGATAATTGCATCAATATTAATCAAAAGTGATAAAATTTAACTTCGAGCTGGACTACCTACAGCTGCATGAATACTCTTTGCATATTTGACCATGCCTGTAGCGTTTAAATGCACCTTGTCATTTGGTAACAGGGCTCAAGTGTTTTTCCAAAAACCCCTGTGCTGCCAGTAGCTAATATCGCAACGTTGATATACATTTTTTCGTAGCTCTTTGTGTATTTCTATAACCTTGTTATTATAATTGTCTTCCAAACCCCCGGAATATCTCGGGATCAACTGACCTATAATCACGTGACGAACATGATAGCATTTGATTATGTAATCGGCAAAAACTATTATACTCTCGGTTATCTAGCTGGATTTGATTCAGCGGATAAATCATTGCAGCCAATTTGAAGAAAACAACAATGAGGCTTATAATCATCAATAATTTTGACAAATGCTTGCCTTTGAACGCATTTTGGACCCGGATGAAGTGTACTTCCACCCAAACCGAAATATTCGACTTGAATGTCTGTACCATCAAACCCCAAATTAAACCATCCCTGATAGCTATTTTTAAACACAAATGATTCCAATCTATGAATAAAAGAGTGACCAAAATTTAATACACGTCTGACCATGGTTCAAAGGCAAAAATTGAAGTTCAATATAAATAAAATGATTAAGGTTCGCCTTTACCTGAAATATAGCTGTACTTTTAACAAAGATGGACCTTCCTTTACATTCTTTGGAATTTCACAAGTAATTGGAAATCAGCTCTGGAAAAATCTTAAAATGCAGTCAGTTCTCTGAATTTCACACACAAATCTGCATACAATAAGTAACCTCCTTTTTGAAAAACAATTACAGCCTCACAATTTCAGCTTCAGCTATACACAGTGATCTTCCTTTTTTGCAAAAAGTTACAAAATATTTTCAAACAAACGATGTTTCTTCTTTCAGAGAAATTAGCTGAATGACTGCATGTCCAAGTTCATGCAATAATCTGATCTCAATTGCCCCTCCCAATAACTGGCTAATCCACTTCCTTATTTGACCATAGCATACACTGATCTCAGGCGGGAGATAAAGTTTCTACACTTATGATGTAAAATACTGCCCAAGACCCCAGGTGGCTAATACCCAGATAAAATTACTACGCAGTAGATATTACTTAATCCTCAATTATTATCTGAACTTGCAGACAAAAATGTTTTTATTTCCAATAAATTTATTTCTTAAATTTGTCCTTTTGGCTATCTAGCTCCTCAAGTAAATGTTCGCGACGATTTAAATTAATCTAAAACATATAGACATTTTTGACTTATTGCACTGGAAGGCATATTGCTATGGATGCATTGAATTGTTATACAATTTTTATATTTGCATAATTCTAGGGAGCAATCAGTATCAGTGCGAAAATGAGAAATCAGATGGTTCTACCAGTGCTAATTGATTGCCTTTCTGACCTAAGGGATCAAGTGTTGGTGACAAAAACCTGCCATCTTATACTATGTCTTATTTTTGATGAAAAGAACAAGTATTTGTTTGGTATGTAATGAGATTATAGGTATAGTACACCTTAATTAGGAATCAAAATTATTAAGAATTACTTTGAATCGTCTGGGGAACTTTACAGATGGAGTATTAAATGCAAAAGTAATTCCCCAATGATCACATTTCATGAATCTATTAGGAAGATACAAATCAAGTGAAATAAACAAAAACAACAGGGGGGTCGTACCAACTCGTAAATGAGCGAAATCGGTTATGTCGGTAGAGAAAGCGTCTCCTGATATGCATGCATTACCCGCGATGCGAATCCACGCTCCGTCATAGTTGTTTTTCTTTCTTTTTGTCTTTGAGAAGGTTTTGCATGAATTCTACTTCATGTGAGTACTATATTATTGATTTTTGTTAGTTTCTTTTGATTTTTTATCAAATTTGTACCGTTTGTTCTGCGTTTACACGTATGTTCCTTTTGGCTCGTTTTGAAATGATCAGCAAACATCCATAAAACTGCAATTGAATAACTGACATCACTAAAAGACCTTTTTGAGTATGTGCAAATACCGAAACTTTATTGCCGTGTATATCATCCTGATTGAAGACAACGTATTGTAACTAATATCACAGAAAACGGATGGCGTTATTGGTGCAGTTTGGAAAAAAAAAACTAATTTGTTTCTCAAAATGTAAACGCCCATTTTTATTTTATTAAACAAATAAGATGATTTTGGGTATTACATTTCTTTTCTTGTGCACAAAAATATTTACATAAAGTATAATTATAAAAACACCTAATTTGTAAACTTTATAAACTTTCATGAACAGCATGTGGAATACAAAACGAAATTTCAGCAGATAGTATTAATACTTTTCAATTAAACTGAAGTGAAATTTTATTGAATAGGAGTCTGCGCCATGAAGCATTTGCTCGGTGTGTTGCCAATTAAGACAAACAGTGATACATTCTCAGATGATATCGTTTTACCGGTACTTTCAATTTTAACAGAGATTGTTAGGGATCATGAAGATCTGGCATGGTAATTATAAATAAATCTGTGTATGCCTAACTGCTTTGTAGTAGGTCGTTCTTATTCAATCCTAACAAGAAGGCAACACCTGCAGAACTTTAAGCTTGTCTTTTAGTTAAATGAGGAAAGGTGGATGCACTTCTAGGTGGTGTTGTCGAAGGAGTGAGAGAAAAAAAGTACGGGTTCCGTCTGGTGATGACGATGCTACAAAAAAACCATTAGAAATAAAATAAAATACAGCTCTAAAGTGTAGTGCAACTAATAACGATACTGATAAAAATAAATGCAAGAAAGATGAAATCATATCGGACAGAAAAACAAAACATCGTCGTGGTCGATCATTATATAATCTACTTGGTCGAGTAGTCAACCAATTCAAAAACAAATCGTTCCTAATCTCTTGAGAAAACATGATCTCAAATTCAGAATTTGTTTCCAATGATTTAATCCGAAATTACGAATTTCATGATAACGAATCTGAGGAATAAGTTGGTACACATTTTCGCTAGTCGTGATTTAATTCGAAAACAAATTAATTTCTTAATCATGATTTCTCATAGTCGGTAAAGATAATATGCTATGGCGAGTTACAAACACTCAAATGAAAATTGTGAATTTATATATATATTGACTAAGATACATAAAAACACTTCACTTTACTTTAAAGATACTGTGACTCATCATGAAGCATTGGAATATAAGAAATCTTTTATTTTCTATCAAACTTCATTTAAAGGAATTTGGTCAAGGAAAATGGTCTTGAGAAAGTCAAATTCATAAAATTCACTCCTGAGATATATTCAGTGGAAATTAAAGAGAAAGCATCTCAGGTATGTGATATATTTTCTGCTTTTCGTCTCGCCTCGACGAAGTCGAAAAGGCGAGACTTAACCGTGCTGTTTGGCGTAGCTGTGGCGTCGACAATGCATAGTTTGTGGTGATTGGTCAGTTTATGGGAAACCACTAGTGCTAGGTCTATGATGTTTGTATTGCAGCTGTATGAGCATTGATACATCACATTTCGGTGGAGATAATTTGGCCCATCCCTCAGTCATTGACATTTGTTTTTGAAACTTTTGCTTAGTATACATGTATTAGCTTGTAATTAGGTAAGTTTAAGAGGAACCACTATTGGTCGGTCAATGATATTTGGTATGCATATATTAGCATTGGCACATCTCATTTCCATATTAGCCCCGCCCGCTGAGTAATGGGCAATTGACTTTGAATGTTTTACATAGTTATCATGTGAAAAGTTTTTGATTATGTCTGTTGTCAGTTATATTTGGTATGCAGTTGTATTATCATTTGCAAGTCTCATTTCCATGGAGATTATATGACCCCACCCCCTCATCGTGGTTCATTTGAAACTTTTGCATAGTTTACATAGATTTGTGTTAAGGTTAGTTTAAAGTGAACCACTTATGATAAGTCAATGGTATGGTAACAGTTTTATAAGTTTTGACATTTCTCATTTCCATAAAGGTTATTTCGCCCTGCACCTTCAATCATGATTCATAAACTTTGAATGTTATTTTACTTTTTATTTTACATGTTTAAGTATTGCCATTTTGATTGCAACATTTACATTATACTACCAAAATTACATAAGGTGACATGTCTCTGGGTCAACAGTTTATGATTAATTTATTGACTGTTGGTTGCTTAACGTCTAGTAGCAATATTTCATACATGTTTTGGACGAGAATAAACTAACAATAAATACAATAGGTATGTCCTGTTATAGAGGCCGTCCGGGATGAAGGTCGGGGGAAATTTGGACTGCCACTTGAAAATGTGAATATTGGATATGGACAGAAATAAGGCCTCGCAACACTTACGGACCCCTAAGGAGTTGTTGCAAGGGTACTTACGTGCAGAGAGCGTGTCACTCTCTTTATACGAGGCATCGGATTTAACGTCCCCATTCTGACCCGACTTGGCTGCGTACATTTGCAGTCCGCACAGCCTAACAGACGCCCACTTTGGCAAGAATTTTACTGCCTGTCGGAAGAAGACCAAAGTGACCATATTTTTATTCCCGAGTTACCCTTAAGGGTTCAACAGTTTATGTTGTATTCTTGTTTTTTTTTTATGTTTAAAGGAAATGAAAGACAATGTCATTATTCAAATTTGAAACAAGAAATGCATAAAATTGAAATAAGCATGGTACCTTTTAAAGAAATTAAAATGTTATCATATTAACAAGTTATCACTTTGTGAGAAAAAAACACCCGCCTAGTGTTTAGACTTGATTTGATTTAGACTGATTGTTTAGACACCTTTTGACTGTTGAAGACTGTATTTTACCTCTAGACGTCTTATTGTTATTTGTGTCGCTTAATTAATTTCTCTTTGACATAAATCCAAAGTCCCTTTTAATTATATTTTACAATCAAAGTTTATTTTTGACAAAAATCAAATAATAATAATCAGATAGATCTTCTATGCTTTGTTAAAAAAGGCACTACATTCTTTGAAAAAATAATCATTAATGCATATAAGGTAGAAATGTTCAAATTGAAAGGCAAGACTCTCTTAATTTGAAATGAGCATACTTTGTTTAAAAGAAATTTGCTTTTTTTTCCCATTAATTTATAAAAAAAGACAGTCATTATTATATTGCGTGCTACTCATTCATTAATATGAAAATAAAGAATGTGGTATGATTGCCAATGAGACAACTATCCACTAAAGTTCAAATGCAGTGGATATAAGCAACCGTACGGTCTTCAACAATTAGAAAAACCCATACCGTATAGTCGGCTTTAAGGGGGCCCGACATGAATAATATGAAACAATTCAATTGAACAAAACAATCTCAATAAAACAAATATGACAAACATGAACCAACGACAATCACTGGACTACTGGCTCCTGGCTTGAAACAGGCACATAAGGAATATGGCGGGGTTAAACATTTTTGAAGGCGCCAACCATTCCCCTCACCTTGGACATCAGATCGATACAAAGCAGAAAAACATCTAACAAAAGCACAGACTGGACGTGGCAAGGAAATTATACATCCGTCACAACACAAAAATAAACAAAGTACAGATCTGAGAGTACTCGTAGTTACTGACAGCTAGTTCAAAGCCAATGACAACTGATAAAACATCATGTATCTAAGACGGAAGTATCAATCAGTACACATCCATTGGATGTTGGATGTGTACTGATTGATACTTCTATCTAAGACGGAAGTATCAATCAGTACACATCCAACATCCAATGGATTAAGCGTAAGGACATAATTAACAGTCAGAAAAAACATGACCTTGTATATTTAGTATAGTTTGTATTAATACGAAATAGTCAGGATTGAGGGGACATACTTTGACATGCAGTTAAAACATCCTGAGGCGGATTTTTAACGCACCAGTTCACAAGCTAATTGTTCACATAATGTCACCATACCTAAACACATTACAAACTCCGCGTCGACCAGTCTTTGCTCTTATTCCTAAGTGCCGCATGCTTAACGGAGAAGCAGCCAATACTAGTGTTTGTCTTTTGTTTGATCGGGATCGAATCCATGACCCACGAGGCCACCGATGCAATGGAAATTAAGGAGATGGGTAATTAGAATGTGTGGGACTGACTTACTAGTCTGACAACACTATTTCGGCCTCATTTTACGCTAGAAATAGTATATAAACTTACCAAAGAAACGGGCATTTCAAAAATTATTTTCTTTTCCCTAGTGCTTGAAATGAAATTGTGAATTATCGTGATCATCTATTTTTACGAGAAAAAGTTGCTTTACCCCGATGTTTTGGTAGACGAATAACGATTCGACATTTGTCTACTTTCAGCTACTTTCAATTTTATGGAACAACAAGCACAAGCATGTGTATATGATCGACTCAAGCAAATTAACAAAAGATGAAGTAAAATCTGATTATGTGTTATAATATCCTGTCGACTTCTACGCCATAGCTTCTCAATAGGGGGATTTGAATAAATGTATATTGTAATTGTGATTTGTATTGTTATACCATCGTTCATCTTTCTATTTGTGTTTATTATTTGCCTTGCATTTTCACTTGCATTACACAAATACTTGTACGCATCATGTTTTGTTATATCTGTATACCATTGTTTCAACAAAGGAATAAAGCATATAGTAAAATCAAATAACTATAGTTTCTAAATTTAACTATATAATCAGTTTAAAAATATTAATCTACTTAGAACTTCATAAAAATTACATCTGTTGATAAAAAACAATTGTGTGTAGCAACTTCCTTGTCTAGTTTTTTTTAAAATAATAAATCCTAATTTAAAAGTAAAAGATTATATTACCCGATATTTAGATTTCTGTTTAATATATTATGGACTATTTTTCGTCTTCTCGTCTTCGCTTTTTGCTGCAAGTTTGTAATGAATAAAGCGTAAACGTAACAGCGATCCAATTCACAAAAATCCGAAAAACACCTTGTTGTTTTTTTGTTTTTTTTAATTTAATCTTTTTTGCCATCTTTGTTATCTTTTTGTCACATTGGTGGTGTTTCAGTCATCATAAAGAAATAATCTTTCGAGCGTTTCGCAATTTCAAGAGTATGCTAAGCCTAGACTCTATGTTTGTTATGATAGATTACACTCGTACAAGGTTAACTAATTCTCTTTTAACCGATAAATTTAATTCGAATAAGCGGCAGCTATCTAAGGTATAAACAACTATTGCTTAGATAAAACATCTCGTCTCGTGTGACTATTTCCACATGGTCAATGTTGGTTTCAACCTGATATTTTAATGAAAAAGCTATGAAATGCTGTTTATGACCCCGCTGCGGCGTAGGGGGTTACCCTGGTCCGTCTGTACGTCAGTCCGTACGTACGTCCCAAAATTAGTTTCCGTTCTCTAACTTTAGTTTGCCTCAACTAAATATTATACACAGTGCTTATTACCACAAAACACAGATCAAGTTCGAATTTTGGTGGCGTCACTTTTACAGTTCTACAGTTATGTCCCTTTATAAATGGAAAAATTGCTGAATTTTTCGTTTCCGTTCTCTAAGTTTAGTTTGACTCAACCAAACGTTTTGAAACTTGTATACAATGCTTTTTACCACAAAACGCAGATCGAGTTCAAATTTGGATGGCGTCACTCATACAGTTCTCTAGGTATGTCCCTTTATAACGTTATATGCAAGCGGGGGCATCATATGTGTCCCATGGACAAATTCTCCATTTATTTTTTAAATATTTCGGAAAGTGGTATAGAGTAGTTCTATGGTATTTTGAGTTATGTGATACCACGTTACTTACATTTTCCCCGTCATTTCATACAAATCATTAATGTTTTTTTTTTCAAATACAACCATGTAAGAAAAATCCCTAGCTGATTCGTTATATCCTACTTTTGGAATTCATTTGTATACTTGATTTAAGCTGAGATTACTATGACAGTATAGTAGTCTCTCAGTTTTAAGATATAAAGATATAAATCCTGTTACTTATATTTTTTTCAATAAATACTTTTTTAAAAGTACCGTAATCGCTTAGAATCCCAGTCTAAAAGTCAATGTCGCAATACAACTCATTAATTGGTTAATCAGATCAACAACTGTATCATAAAGAAAATTTAAAAAAAAACACCAACAATGAATAAAGATATAAGAAGGATGATAAAATAAAACAATTTGATTGGTTGATGCCTGTAAGGACTTCGAGCTGAATATACATCATATTGCTATTGAATAAAGGAGTATCATTCGACCTTCTGGAATTAATAATAAAGTTACACAATGAGCACATGATACAAACGTCCAAAAATCAGTGATAGTCAGCATTGCATATGGATTGAATATGCATGTCACTGAATTAACATATAAAACTGCGTGTAAAGATTCATACGATTTCGTTGAGGATAACTTGAGTTATCGTTAGACATATGCACATTATCTAGTTTTTAACTTTCGAATCTATGTCCCGTAACTCAAGAACGACTTATCTTAATTAAAATCGTTTATTATATAATACATAATCGAAAGGTTTCGTAACATGTGCACCATAAGGATTTGATAAAAGCATGTTCAATTTGTCGTGAAAGAGGCGCTACAAATTGCATAGTATAATCTATTTGATGATTAAAGTAACAAAACTCTGGAACGACTAATCTGAAAATAATCGAAGTCGTTAGGTTGATAGTTGTCATGGCACTAAACATAATTGAGTTAAAAGTTAGTAACAATTTGTTAAGGAATGTTTGAGTTAATGAGAGATCAGAGAGATAGAAAAACACATTGTGTATAAAAAGTTGTTTGACGCATAGATTTTTACGGAATTAATATCTTTTAACTACTCAGTTAAGACGTCTTTAAAGTAAAACTTTTTTTCAAAAACTAGACAGGGTCCAATGTGCATGGTAAAGAATAAAGCAGATATTTTATGGTTTCATTTCATTAAGTTCATCGGTATATCTGACAAATATGAGTTTCTTTGGTCTTGTGGAATAAGTGTAGTCAAAATTTATATCGATTATAATGTAATTTCAAGAGTTATCTCCCCTTTTCTAATGCATTCTATATAATTTAAAATATCTCCTATGACCAGACAGATATTTCGATGCTATATTTGTCATTTGTGTCTATATTTAATTCTTAAACTGTGCTTATATTACTGTTTTGTCATCATGCATGTACAATGTATCACACCATACCTAGGTTTTTTGTTTTGTTTGTAATTACTTGTAACTAATCTTTCTTTGTTATAGATTAAGGTTGTAATTATACTGCTATTAAAGTGGATCATCGGTATATATTCCCTCAGATAGAATATTCTTATACTTTGCCAAAATGTAGATTTTACCATGTTTTTTTTCAAAAATATAATAAAAAGTATGAGCCACCGTGCTATTTTTCAAACTACAATTCGTGCAAAATTGACCAATTTTATATAGATTATTCATGAAAAAACACTTTTTTACTAACAAAAAGAATCCATTAGATAGAGATTTAAAATAAAAGACGAGAAGATAGGTTTTATAATATGCTTTAAGAAAATAAAAAGAAAAAATGGTGTCACCGAACTTGTTTTCTTGCTGTAAGTGAACAATGAAAATGTCTTTAACATGGGAATTTCCTTTATACATGTTTTACTATTAGAGTTACATGTATCTCCCCTTAGTGGCTATATTGGAAAATTGATTCAAACAAAAACAAATATTTGGTATTTGTTAAAAAAGTATGAATAATGCAATAAATAACTTATTTTTCTTTTTTGAAATAAAGTCTTAAGGTGCGCTTATACGTATACAGTACAATTTTCCATCCGATTTCCAACCGATTATCTACCTGTGATGTCGTTTCGACAAAAATGGCACTAAAATCGGATGTCGTGTGTTTAATCAAAATTTGTTTTAAAGTCTGTTGGTTCCCCATTTTCACCCGACAAATCGGTTCAAAATCGCATCGTGTGAACAGAACGCTACATACGATTTACCTGAGCGACGCTATCAAAACGGATGGAAAATTGGATGGAAAATCGTACCGTGTAAACGCACCGTTACACATTAATTTTCAATCCTTCTCATAATTAGCAGATTTAAGCAAACAACTATACCGATTGTGTACTGCAATTTTACAATCCAAGATGGCGGTATACCTTAAATCATTGCGGTTGATATTTTGGAGAAATGAACATCTAATTTAAGATAAGGATTTATTTTTATTTTTGCATTGAAATTTTTGTAGTTTTTTCTTGGCATTACGCAAGATCGAGTTTTTTGTGCTGCTAATGAAGTTACTGATTTAAATCTCCTTCGAAGAATTGCAACCGTTATTTACGAGTAGGAAGGCCTGCTGTAATATCAGCTTGTTATCTTCGTTTAGATTGCCTATCTATCATACTAGTATTGGAGCGTTAATAAGTTAACCCCGTCACATTTCCATGTGCCTGTCCCAAGTCAGGAACCCTATCAGTAGTTGTCGTATCCTTATGTTTTCTGCTATTTGGAGAATTGGTATAAATGACCGATTATTGACCGATTCTGTTAAATTTACTCACAACTTTTATAGAATCGAGACTATATATCAAGTCTACATATTGTCACGGGAACTTTCAAATTTTTAATATTTTTTACTTTGTGGGAAAATAACGATTTAAAAGTCATTTCTGTTCAGTCTAACAAATTTACAGGAGAATTTTTTTACTAAAATGAGTATCCGTTTAAGATATAATTATTGCTTAACAAAATTAACTTTAAGATTAGGTCTATATTTTTGCACATAGATGTTGATGTATTCGCTTTCCATATTTAAATCGGAATAAGGTCAGTGTTAGTTTACCTAGTTACTTAAATGAAAAATAAGTGATGGTCTATTCTGTATATAAGTCGATTTTATTAATATTTTTCCAGATCTTTTCTGGTCTAACTTCATACATATACGGAGAATTGTTGCTTTCCTTTGACGTAACGAGCCAGTGGAAATTGAGGTCGGTACGTATTCGCATAGCAACATTTTGAACCAATCTCATTCAATACTCCTATATTGTCTGCTGTCATCATTTGTTATGAAACGCCGAACTACGTGATAACTCCGTTTTATTTTTAACTTGCATATCGCCAGTTGTCAGTGTTGCAAGGGCGATATTTTTTTGTCACTTGCTATCCCACTGACTAAGAACACGGAAACAAAAGTGTTCTATATTTGCCAAATCTTTGCATTATTCAAATCATTTCGCTGTTTTAGATAATCTGATAATGAGATTGTTGTGTAATGTATGTTGCTCTTACTGTAATAAAACAAGGTGACGAATAGGTTTTATTCGGTTTGTTTGAAGAAAACTGAAATTCAATATAGAAATAAGGAACTGTGGTATTATTTCCATTAACACATCTAACGACCAGAGACCAAAGGATGTAATAGCTATAAACTGAGGGATAGGTGTGTCTGGATAAGAAACCCCGACGGCCGGAGGCCGGAGTGGTTTCTTATCCAGACACACCGTATCCCGAAGTGTATAACTAACTTACGCCCGAGGCTAAACCCTATATTTGTTTACATTAAATATTAAATGAAAAAGAATGGAGAGCATTTTTATTGATAATACCAAACCATTAATGATTAATAAGAAAAGAATATATTTTTTTAGATGAAACCCCACTAGTAGAGGTCGGTCATTTAGAGACGTATCTACCGTATCATATACGTTGACGTATACGCATCTGCAGATATACCAAAAACAGTATGTTATCCCGAGCTTTAATTGTATATATACTTTCAATAATGCAGATGGGCAACTGATTAATTTCTAATGCTAGTATATAATTGTGTATCTGACTTAATTTTTGGAAAACGTCTTGAATGTGTTTGCTTCAATTTCATATGATTTAAATATCATTTACTACATGGCAAGATTGATATGAAACGCATGCACTTACGATGTGTACATACAATGTGTATGATATTATTGACATACATTTCAAAGATATATAAAACATGGTTTCTAAGTATAAATCAGAGATAGACATCTTTTGTCAGGATTAGGACAGTGTGAAATCTACTCGCGTCCTTGATATATATTTTTCACGTGAAACAATTAGGAAATATCGATTTTTTGTCTCGCCTTGACGGAGTCAAAAAGCGAGACATAGGTATGCTGTTTCCGGCGTCGGCGGCGGCGGCGGCAGCGGCGGCAGCGGCGTCAACAATGTATTAGTTTGTGTTTAGGTCTAGTTCATGGTGAACAACTAGTGGTAGGTCAATGATATTTGGTATGCAGTTGTATTAGCATTGGCACATCTCATTACCACGGAGATTATTTGGCCCCACCCCTTCGGTCAAGGTCTATTGACTTTGAAACTTTTTATAAAATTGAGAATGGAAATGGGGAATGTGTCAAAGAGACAACAACCCGACCATAGAACAGACAACAGCAGAAGGTCACTAACAGGTCTTCAATGCAGCGAGAAATTCCCGCACCCGGAGGCGTCCTTCAGCTGGCCCCTAAACAAATATATATACTAGTTCAGTGATAATGAACGCCATACTAAACTCCAAATTGTACACAAGAAACTAAAATTAAAAATAATACAAGACTAACAAAGGCTAGAGGCTCCTGACTTGGGACAGGCGCAAAAATGCGGCGGGGTTAAACATGTTTATGAGATCTCAACCCTCCCCCTATACCTCTAGCCAATGTAGAAAAGTAAACGTATAACAATACGCACATTAAAATTCAGTTCAAGAGAAGTCCGAGTCTGATGTCAGAAGATGTAACCAAAGAAAATAAACAAAATGACAATAATACATAAATAACAACAGACTACTAGCAGTTAACTGACATGCCAGCTCCAGACTTCAATTAAACTGATTGAAAGATTATGTCTTCATCATATGAATATCAGGCACAATCCTTCCCGTTAGGGGTTTAGTATCATACCATCATAACATATATGAGAAGACCATAACCCGTGTCAGGCCAACAACTGGTTTTTAAGTAAATGTGTTTAGTGCCGATGCAAAGACCCTATAAGTGAATCAATATTAACGCCAAAATATGCAATCTTTAATGACCTGACAACAGTATCGTAACTATATCCCTTATAATAAGTCTATTTAAAGGTTTTGTTAGCTTCAGAGGTGAATACTGACATTTTTGTGCTTTATAAAGAATATTTCCATAAAAAATTGGATGTGAAATACCTGAACGTATAAGAAGTCTGCATGTTGAGCTATATTTACGAATGATGTCCTTATACAGATGATAAAATTTAGTAAATGTTTTGACTAGTTTGTGATATCGAATATAGTTTACATGTATTAGTTTGTGATTAGGTCAATTTATGGGGAACCACTAGTGGTAGGTCAATGATATTTGGTATGCAGTTGTATAGGCATTGGCATATCTCATTTCCATGGAGATTATTTGGCTCCGCCCCCTTAGTCATGGTCTATAGACTTTGAAAATTTTGCTAAGTCAGGGGTTCAAATTAACATTTGGTACTGGAAGGTCCAGGACCTTTGACACTCCAAACTGAAAGGTCCACAATCTAAATTCCAGGTCCTACTTTTACTTGAAATATTTTCTAACATAGTAAGATACAAGTAACAAAATTAATGTGCTGTTGGTGTTAGGTCAACTTGTTTCATTGTCAAAGTCACTGTTGTATAAAATATTTAATAACAATTGTAATTGTCTTGTATATTATAAATTCAGATAATCTTTTTTGTTTTATTTATTGAGGAGGGTGTCACCTTGGGTGGGTGTGTTGTCTCAACTATTGGTAATTTATTACTACTTATACCATTTTATAAAACAGTTCAAATTCAAAGCTGTTTAAGCAGAGACGTATATACATGTGAATATATGTCTCTGGTTTAAGTGTATCATATCTATTATAATACATTAGTTCCTCTGTGAAAATAAGATAAGAAACTTCCAGATTTGTACTGGTCCTTTAAAATTGAGAAGACATTACCTCTTGGAATTGTAGTAATACGTTTACACTATACAACAATCTACGTGTAATATCAATATTTATTAATGATAAAGAAAATTACTGTCACATTGTTTTGGATTTTGAGATGAAAATTTATGAACTAAAAGTAATTTTGAGTTTCTGTAAAAAAATATTTCCTACCTTTTCTTTCTTTTCAATATATCTTTTGGTTTTCAATTCTAGTGTTTATATTTTATCATCATGATAGATGTATTTTGTCAACTGCCTGGAATTATTATTTTTTCTTTGTATTTGATCGGCAAACCCGGAATTACCCTTATCCGCTCCGGAATTGGATCCGTTTTTTGTTATTTTCTTCATTTC